CTCATTTATATTGACAATTCAGACATACATTATGCATTTTAAAGTAGACGACTTTAAAATGATATTGTCAGTATTGTTGAGTTGCGCTCCTGGGACGGCTTTACTTATAAGATAGTTCATTCGATTACATGAAATCAACTTTAACTTGAGACTATCCGTCAGAAAAAATCATACCATGTAATTCGTCTTTAAAAAGACAAACACATGACATGATGACAGTAAAATTCTCCTGTTAGTGATTCCATAGTAAATTATGAGGGAAAAACCAGGAAAAAACCTCATAATACTATCCCGACATTGTAAGTATTTGTTCGTGAATTTAGTTTACCTTCAACAAACATCAAAATTCTGATTTTATATGTTATGTTATTTAAAAAACATAAATGATGTATCCGCCATATGTTACTGACTTACTAATACTGGTATTTTCTTATCAATCACTTCCTCTTTCAATATTGGTAACCAGATCCTACTACATTCTGCCGAGGAATTTGCGACACAATTTTCCTCATTTAGCATAATTAGAGCCGCTTCTTTGATTTTTCTTTTTTTGCCATCCGTTTCTTTTAGGACTATATTTGAATTATTCCATTGAACCCTATGTTCATTACCCCATGCGTGTTTACATATTTGAGATCTATCAAATTCTCTATTTTTAATATAAGATTGATGTTCACTTATTCTAACATTTAATGGCCTTGATGATTCACCTAAATAAAACTGATCGCATTCACAAGGTATTTTATAAATGCAATTCTTTGTCTTTTCTTGTTCATTGTTAGTAAAATAAATAGTAATTAATTTACAATGCCACAAGAAAATAGCTTTAGAACAATATTAAGATATTTTTATTATGAAAATTGCAAAGCGCAAACCGGTGGATTTCAGATAAGGGCGCAAAACAGTCAAGCGCAAACCGGCCGTATTCGTCATGATCCGCCTTTACAGTTAGCTAATTAATGTAATAGACATGGACATAATAAAATTATTAAAATTTGAATATTTCTTACCTGGTAAGTATTATGTGAAATATAACAATTCCATTTTATATACTAAAACTCACCTTGATTTTAGTTATTTTATATCCATAATAGGGTACTTACGACTCGAATCCGAGTAAATGTTTTAAAAAACAGTTAAAATTTATTATTTTTTTATAAAGTATTTTTAGATTTTCAATATTTAAACTGAATGCTTTTCAATTGGGATAGTCGAGAAAACAATGACTAATCGGGTAAAAATATAGTATAAATCTAGCAGAGCACTTTTGTATTTCCAAAAAGATTTTGCATTTAGCTGGCGTGAATGTGTAGCTTGTGGAGTGTTTCCCAATAAATGTAGGTTAGGGCGTCAAAAATGATGTAGGTAAATCAAATTCAGTAAAAACTTAGATAGCAATTTATGCTCTCAGTTACAAGTTCGAGTACAGTAAAATTGTAAAAATAGATTTTTTATCACCTTAAATGTTAACCTAGCACACTAATTGACTTCTCATAAAAGGTAGGCGAAGAGTAAAAAATTACTAGGGTGGTATAATAAGTAAAATCTAGCGCAACACTGTAGTATTTTGTATTTTCGAAAAGATTTTTTTTTGTATTTAGCAAGCGCAAATGTGTGGCTGGTAGAATTTGTGTAATTTGATTAACATTTAGTAAAAACTTAACAGATCAGTTTCTTATTTAAGATAAAGTACAGTATAATTTAAAAAAAACAATGTTTTCCTTAAATTTTAACCTAGCAGAATTATTGACTTCTTACAAGGATTAATCTGGGGTAAAAATTACTATTATTAATTATTATTATAATTAATAATAGTAATTAATTCGTAAAAACCTAGATCATTCTGGTATTTCATAATTTTCTTTTTAAATCCGCTTGCTCATATATTAAGTTAGCGGGAACGTTTGGTTTAGGGGTGAAAAATTATCAGAAAGGTCAAAGTTTAGTAAAAACTTAAACAACACTTTTTATTCCATTTATAAGTACAAGGCAGTGAAATTGAAAAAAAAAACTATTGTTTCAACTTAAATAATTTAAGTATTTATTTAGTTATTGTAACTTATTTTAACAGAATTATTTACTCATAATAAGGGATAGTTAAATAATTACTAGGGTGATAATAAATTTGTACACTGTGGTATGTCTTAAATATATTTTTTTTTAATTATGTTAGCTTAAATAATAAGCTAGCGGAATCGCTCCCGTTAGGGGTACATTTGGAGGTGAAAAATTATCGGGTTGCTTAGTGAAAACTCTGTAAAAAAATGTGGCATAAGTAAAAACGTTTTTTTAATTTTGCTTGCTTAAAGCATAAGCCAGCATGATCGCTTCCCTTAGGACTGGTTTGGTAGAGAAAAATTATTAGGGTGATAGGATTAGTAAAAACTGGGTAAAAAAATATGACATAGGCAAAAAGATTTTTTTTTTTGGATTCTGCTGCTTGAATCTTAACCCAGCAGAATCGGTCCACTTAAGGGTGGTTTGATGGTGAAACATTTTAGGTTGGTAATAAATTAGTGAAAAATTGGTAAACAAATATGGCGTAGCTTAAATGGATTCCGCTCATGTGTCCCTGCTAGATTAAGGGTCCATTCTAACTCCACTTGGACAAGTCATCAACAATCAAAGCTCCTAACAAAATCCCGTCCTTTCAATGTGTGAATCATTTTTGGACTAAATGGGTTGTATATATTTAGTTTTAAATCCTTGCTATTGTATTTTTACTTACAGTTTGTTGCATCAGCGATTTCCTCTGGTGCAATAAGAGTTTTGGATTTTCTAGCACAGACAACATTACTTTAAACTGCGCATTATCATCGGCAACCAGCTTTTTGCGTTCCACTAAAATTATATTTTATTCTTTCAGATTTTCATTACTATTAAATTTACTTAATATTTTCGTAACAGCGGAATGATTTATATTTTATTGGGATATCTATTATTGAAAATAATAGCTGCTTCTTTATGTGTTTTATAATGTTCCCTCACAACCGTAACAATTCTATCTTCTGTACTTAAATTTGCAGGCATTCTTACTAAATTTTATAAAAACTTTTCAACAAATTTGTCTAAATACAACCGATGTTTTAAAAGCAAATGTTACTATAAACAAATAATATGTTTATCTGTGCATCCTAGATTCCACATAAATACAGTTAAACTTGCATTGATAATGTAGACAAAAATATGGGTATGTCGAGGCATTAGTAGAATGAGGAAAAAATAAATATCTATTTATATCCAGTATTAATGTTATGTTAGTAGTTACACTAGCTCAGTAGTATTCAAAATAAAAAGATTACTAAAAAATAAAAAAAACTATTTTTTCAATGTAAATGAATGTAATTGTATATTTGAACTTAGTTTTTAGGTTTAATAAATTTTTCTTAATAACAATTGTCGTTACTGTGAAATATAAAGGTACTTTAATCTTGAGCAAAATTCATATTTATTGACATACCTCGCATACAATTGATGAAGTTTGATAACTGATGATTGTATTTTAGATTTTAGACCATGCAGCACTTTTTATGAAAATCTTTTTTTTTTTTTTTTCGTAAAATTAATAATAAAAAAGTTTTCCACATGATTCCAAATTAGTGGAACATATTATATAAATAAATGCAAACGTCTACTTTCATTTCAACTTCTTTATTCTACGTAAAGTGTACAAAATATGGTATTTTCTAGGAAAATACCATCTTTTATAAAAAAATGTAAAAGATAAATTATAAAAAAATGTAATAGAAATAAAAGTTTATTCCTAAAATCGTTCAATAGCTTCCAGTAAGCGTGGATTTGCTGTTCACCTTATTAGCTCCTTATTTCTAGTTTTTTCTGTTTCTTAATAGATAATTAAATATTTAGATTCAGGTATAAATATATACATTTTAATTGTCACTAGAATTTTCAAAAAATTGCATGTTTTGCAAATATCTTGCTATTGTAATGACCTAAAACCCCATTAAATTTTGCTTATTTTCGTGTGGAGTATTTAAAATTATGCGGAACAAATCACAAGCCAAGAAAAGAAACAATAGTAAAGCTTTATAAAAGAATGACCACTGCTACTTCTATTACGTGAATATGAAATTTGGGTAACGATGCAAGCAGACAAGTTTAGACTCGAGATTTCTCTGAAGACTGTAAGACATAAACAGAAACAGAAAAAACGACAGAAACAGAAATAAAAAGGTAAGAGAAAGACTAAATGTCTACATGGTAATAAGCAGATAAAAGAATACAGAACAGAATGGATGAAAACAGTAACTAAGCAACTAGTAAATTAAAACCGAAATGGAAGAAGACGTGTGGCTCCCCTATAAAAAGTGGAATGAAGTTTGATACCGAAGCACAATATAGTGTTAAATCTTTATTAATTCTAATTTATTGTTCTTATTTTAATTCTACTAAAGGTTCAATATTTATAACACTTACAAATTTAATTTATTTAAAGTTTATTTATATTAATTTATCTTACAATAATTTTTATATACTAGCGTTACATTTAAAGTACCCGATCGCGATATCTTTTGACTAACTGATCTTCCCAATAATAATCCCCGTTATTATATATAAAATGCCATTATCCAAAAGGGTCTGGCGAAGAATCGATGACCTTCCATCCATTAGGTGACTCATGGACTGGTCTCGAAGGGTCTAGTGATTTCCGCTGGCAGGTAAACAGAGCTGAGCGCTGAAATTACTAGAAAAGAATTAGTCATAATATATTTACAGTTTTATACGGCATAATATTTATTATCGTAACAATAGTATTTTGCACAATGAAATGCTATTTTTGATTTTTTACTTCGTTTCTATTTTTATTACTAGGTTCTTTCTGTGAAGAAATATACTGTCAATATTAGGTAACCAGTTTTAAGCATGTAGAACTTTCAGATTATATTCTTTATAAATGTAAATATAATAAATTATTATGATTAAACCTTTTTACATAATATTAAGTTTTACTTTGTTATAATAACTTATTTGTCTTTTAGGTAACTTCATTATTTTTGGCTACATATCATGCAGTCGATTTTTGCAAACAACAAATACCTGGACTTAATGTTAGCAGTTTACAATTTTTCCTGACAGGTAGCTGTCCTGTTCCAAAACGATTAATCGAAAATCTAAGGCAAATATTACCACACGTATCGATATTAATAGCATATGGTACAACAGAAACAGCGGGAATTGTTAGCGTATTTGATATCAATAAACCAGATCATAAAAAAATGAGCATTAAAAAACCAAATTCGGTTGGTAAAATTAAGGAAGAGATGAAATGGAAGGTAAATAGAATATTTTATTTGTACGTGCATACATTTTGTTAATATTTTTATTAGTCACTTTTTAATCCTATTGTCGAGATGAAAATGCCACTGAACCTCTAACAGTCATACAAACAAACTGAATTTTGCCCAGAATGTTTATTTTGGGATTCCAAAAAATATACAAAAATGTTTACCAGTTCTTGACAGTCCTGGTTTTCTCCTGAAACGATCCCTCAAAGAAGGGGAAAGGAAAAAATTTATTTACTAAGAATCTGTACGTCGTCGTAGAAAAAATGTTTTAAATAAAAATGAAGCTGAGATAATTTTGAGTAAAAATGTTTATTAGCACTGTTTGTGTAGTATGAACCGTTCACTCGAAATCAACAGTTGAAGCGAACAGCAATTTTGTGGGCGGTTACGTGCGTGAAATCAATTTTAAATCAAATTTGTTACAACTCGAAGGTATAAATTCGTTATCTTTTGATAAGACTGTCCTAAAAATAAAAGTTTCTCTTAATGAAAAAGAGTTCAGCTTTTATATAAGATTTTTTTATTTTGCCGCAAATGAAGTTAGTTTTTATAAAGGTGTTGGTGAAAAAATAAACGTTGCGCGATTTTTGCATTTTTTATTATTCCCGTGATGTCAACAAAATGTATAACTTTCATTGGCCAATCGCTGTGAAATTTCTATTTTTTAAGCCTGGTCATGCCTGGCAAATGTGAGTCATTTGAAATATGCCTAAAAATGCTGAATTTAAACTTTAACACTACAAACGATCAAAAAGTTTAAACCTGCCTCTTTTTTTTTAATTATACAAGTACGTTTTTCGAAACTACACATCTTTTTCTACAAATTCCACCCAAAACCGTCTTCGTGAAGGTATTTCCCATGGCGTGTAATGGTTTGTAATGTAAAAGTTTAAATTCTGCGTTGTTTATGCCAAATAACTCATATTTTTTGACAAAAATCAAAATCGAAAATTTATATTGTAGATTTTGAAGATTAGGCTCAAAAATCTAAATTCCATAGTGACCGATCAATAAAAGTCATACGTTTTATTGATTACATGAGAATTATAAAAAATGGTAAAAACGCAATTTGACTTTTTTGTCGACAGAATATTCCGATCAAAAGATATTGAATATTTATCGTTGACATAATACAAATAATACAGGGGGCGCTTTAGGGAAAGCCGGGAGGTAGGAGTGGTTAACTTTTTTACATTGACATTGAAGTTGACATTCTCAGCAAAATTTAGCTTGTTCGTATCATGTTTTTAAGGTCAAACCTCTGACGACGGGACTTTTATATCAAATTAAATCTTATTATTTCAATCTGCTTTAAATTGAATCTTAATTATAAACACCTGTATAAAATATAATTTTATTTTTTAACTTTTTTTAGAAATCTTTTAAAATGAACTGAATATAATTATTTCACCTACATGTTTTTTGAATATTAATTGACTATGGCAGAAAAAACTTAGCTAGACTATTTTTTTATTTTATCTTTTCTAATCTAGTATATCTGCAAACACTTAGTGCACAAATCTATTTGTATATTTTAAATTCTACTTAACGAGAGATATAAATAATATGCAGAATTGCCAAACCCATTAAAAAAATGTTTCAATGATTTTTATAGCACTGTAGAAGTATCCTGATTGAAAACGCCTAAATTTAATTTCCAGAAAATCTATCGTAATATATAATAATTTTCACCAAACACGGTCTTAAAAATGCATTTTCCTTCTAAAGCCAACAAATATATAGACAAACACAATGAAACCATGAAATCTTTGCTGTCTGCTGTCATAAATAAAATCCATTTTATTCTACACCAAAACGTCAGAATAACTATAACTGGCGTTCTTAGATGTACTGACAACCAAGCACAAGAAGGAATACTTATAGATACCATACCGGCTACCGAAAAGCAATTCACAAACAGATATATCTAAATGCCTAGTGATAATGTACGATAATGTGATAATTACGTAGGTCTCATCTAGTACTTATATTTTAATGGTGATACAATACGTTAATAGCCTTTGGAAAAACAGCAATATAGTGTGCTTTTTCATGTGTGTGTATCAGATGTACTTTTTATGTAATTCTTGTAATAACAATAATCGAAGCACTTTAATATTGGGCAACATTTTTATAATACAGTCATATTAAAAAAAAAAGTCCGAGTTGTATGCTAGGTATAGACCAGGAGGAATGATTAGCGTGTGATTATTTGTATATTTTAAATTCTACTTAACGAGAGATATAAATAATATGCAGAATTGCCAAACCCATTAAAAAAATGTTTCAATGATTTTTATAGCACTGTAGAAGTATCCTGATTGAAAACGCCTAAATTTAATTTCCAGAAAATCTATCGTAATATATAATAATTTTCACCAAACACGGTCTTAAAAATGCATTTTCCTTCTAAAGCCAACAAATATATAGACAAACACAATGAAACCATGAAATCTTTGCTGTCTGCTGTCATAAATAAAATCCATTTTATTCTACACCAAAACGTCAGAATAACTATAACTGGCGTTCTTAGATGTACTGACAACCAAGCACAAGAAGGAATACTTATAGATACCATACCGGCTACCGAAAAGCAATTCACAAACAGATATATCTAAATGCCTAGTGATAATGTACGATAATGTGATAATTACGTAGGTCTCATCTAGTACTTATATTTTAATGGTGATACAATACGTTAATAGCCTTTGGAAAAACAGCAATATAGTGTGCTTTTTCATGTGTGTGTATCAGATGTACTTTTTATGTAATTCTTGTAATAACAATAATCGAAGCACTTTAATATTGGGCAACATTTTTATAATACAGTCATATTAAAAAAAAAAAGTCCGAGTTGTATGCTAGGTATAGACCAGGAGGAATGATTAGCGTGTGATTAGGAGTTAGAAATGGGTATAATTGGAAATATCTGAACGACTGGGACTGGAGAATATGAAAATGGGAAAATAATAACAAGGATGTGATTAATGTAGTAGAATATACTTATGGTTATTAGTGTCTACGATTTTTTAATATCTAGGTAGGTATTCTTCATGGATATCAGGAATTTACACACAACCAAACTTATATCGAATCATGTAATATTTCGTATTATTTTAAGCAAATTAAAAAAAAACAACCTAAGAAGTCAAAGAATATTTATTTTAAAGCAATCTAATTACCACTATATGAAAATTCTCATCTCCAATAAAATATAATATTACCCACAACGAAATAGTAAATTTAAGAATATATATATATATATATATATATATATATATATATATATATATTTATATATATATATATATATATATATATATATATATATATATATATATATATTTCATCCACAAATCATTCTAGCATCTTGTTTGATTAAAAGTAACGGGTTATGATATATTGCATATTTTTGCTCCAATTGGTCCAGTCGTGATGTACAGCACCTCAAATGATAGGATTTAACCAATAAAATACAATACGACAAAAAAGCAGCATGTCAAAAAGGCCTTAGTTATATATCTTCGTTTCTATAAGTCCAATCGTGACGTACAGTATCTCAAATGATAGGATTTAATTAATCGAAAACAATGAAATAGAAAAATCAAATACAGCAACATGTCAAAAGGGCCGAAGTCACGTATTTTTGATCCTATTAGTCCAATCGTAACGTATTATGAATGAACGATCGAAACGAATTTTGCCGCTGGCAGCAACAGATAAATAATACTTGTATTATTATGGTAAAATTGACAAATACGAGAAAAACGTTCGTCTCCAATAAAATATGTTGATGTACAGACGGTGCCAGTTAATTTTTTAAAATTAGTATTAATTTTTGGTTAAATCTTGTTTGTTTATGTAGAATATAATTTTTTTTTGTTTCAAATTAAATTTAAAATATATTGTATATGCTACCAGTGCACTGTTCATATTTCTTTGTTTTCTATTAATATAATAAATAACTATGTAAATGTATAATTTTTTATTTACTATAATAAAATTTGTGGAAATGTTGCTTTAAAAGTTAAAAATACTTAAAGAAAAATAAAAAAATAATAATAAAAAACTTTTTACATTAGAATGAATAACTGATACTAATTTGCATCTCTCTTCTTCTTCTTCTTTTAGCATCATAACCCTGGATGGGTCTTTGCCTGTCTGGCTATGTCCTTCCATTCAGATCTCTCCTGTGCCCTTCTTCTCCATTGTCTTATGTTCATTGTTTTCAGGTCGTCTTCCACGTCATCCAACCATCTCGTTCTGGGCCTTCCCTTTTTTTCGCCTTCCTATGGGCTTCCATTGTAACATTTGCTTTGTTGTTTTTGCATCGTTTTGTCTCTGCACATGTCCTAGCCATGACAGTCTTAGACTTTTCACAAATCTTACAATGTCATAACCTTCATTAAACTCATTAACCTGGTCGTTTCTCCTGATTCTCCATGTGCCATCTTCCTCTTGTACCGGGCCATATACATTCCTCAGTATTTTTCTCTCGAATATCCTGAGTTAGGCTTCATCTTTTTTCGTCATTACCCAAGTTTCACATCCATAGGTTACTACGGGTCTAATCAGTGTTCTGTAGATAGTCATTTTGGTTCTTTTGTCTAATAATTTCGATGTCATCAATCTTTTATTAGCATAGTATGTAAGATTCCCGCTGGAAATACGTGCATTAATTTCGCTACTTACGGAGTTCTTCTGATTGATTTCTGTGCCGAGATATGTAAAGGCATCTACTCGTTCGATAGTATAGTTGTCTATTTTGATATTATTTTCATTGTGTTATTCTTTTGACTGTCATATACTTCGTTTTTGCTTCGTTTATTTTGAGACCTCTTTTTCTTGCTTCAGGATCAATTTGTTTGAACACTTCCATTAGTCGTTGCTTATTCCTACTAATGATGGCTACATCGTATGCATATGCAGTAATTTGTACTGATTTGGTGTTTATATGGCCGGTTATATTGATTTTTCTGATGACTGCC